AAAAAGCCATCTTGATGTAACAGAATTGACCCACAGGAAATACCCCATCTTTTGAATTCGGAAATATATACATTTCTCAACATTTTTGATGACCCTTGAACCACGCCCAGTGCTTGCACCCAGATGATTGTTCATAAAACATAAAACTATCTTGCAGATTTCAAACTATAGCATTTAAAAAAACTTCAGTAGGACACACCCTAGGAGCTAATTTCCTGCCATAACTCCACAAACAAACTAAACAGGTTTTACAAATGCCTTAGGATTCACTAACAAACACAATGTGGTTTGCAAATACAAAACACCATCTACAAACTAATGAATTTAGTTTTGCAAAGAAAAAACGTATCTATCAAACAAACACATAACATTTTTCTAATAAATCATGTTTCAGAGACAAATTCAGCTTAGGTTTTACAAGTACACAACTTTTTTTTACAACTACAACACTTATTTTTACAAGTACAAAACTTGTTTTACAACTACAACACTTTTTTTTACAAGTACAAAACTTGTTTTTACAACTACAAAACTTTTTCTTCTCACGGCGGAATATTACTGCCAAAAGTCACGTGACTCACTCACGTGACTTTTGGCAGTAATATTCCGCCGTGGTTGTGCTCATACACACTCACACATGCTCACTCACACATGCTCCACGGCAGCAGGGGGCACTACTGAGTCCATTGGGAAGGCGGGAGGTTGAGCAGAGTATGGAACAGCCCTTGCCAGCCTTATGACAGCGGTGTTTCTAGCGATCCAGCATCTGAATTTAGCGATCACAACGAAAACAGCCAAGACACATATTGATTGTTGAACACACATTGTGTTTGTTAGTGAATCATGAGGCATTTGTAAAACCTGTTTAGTTTGTTTGTGGAGTTATGGCAGGAAATTAGCTCCATATGGATCGCAGTTGTGGGTTGAGCCCATGGGCGTCGCAGCCATTATATGAGGGTGGGACAAGTCCCCCCCACTTTTTCAAATGATTAGTTTAGACCCCCCCACTTTTACTATGCGGAAAGTCCGTGAATCGGTCTATCCACTCGCTGCACTTTGTCGAGCGCTGTGTCAGTGCTTCACTATCAAATGAAATCCATTCCACTTGCTTATTGAGAGAATGCCCAAATCAATGAAACTCCGTTCCATGTTTTCACTGCTACTTTGTACCAAGGCAGATTCTCACATAGCGCGCGCATGTTCAAGGAGTGATTTCATAGTTGGACAGCTCAGATCTGTTGTATGAAGCGATGCCGGTAGCGGAGGTAAGGCACACACACCAAATGTTCAGGAAATGGTTAATACAGCGAAAATCAAAGCTGACGATCTCTTGGTTTGATATGTTTTCTCCCCCAGACAACATGGACATAAGAACATTTTTTTCAAAGAAGAGGAAAGTAAGTCATCAGCTGGTAGCAGTTAATCAGTTAACAGTAGCCGCGTTCACACCGGAGTACTTTCACCGTACTTTTCGCGTTTTAGTTCCGTGAGTACCCCTTATGTCGCGTTCACACCAAAAATCGTACTTAATCTCGGGTACTTTTACCCCCATTTTTAGAGCCAGCTCAGAGAGCGTACTTTTCTGTGGGTGAAAAGTGCTCCAAAAGTTCCCCAGTGCTGATTGGCTGGGCGAATTGCAAACCACGCCCGTACAACTCTGAAAATGTTGTGTGGAGACGCCATTGTTTTTCCTCGCTACAAAAACACAACGCTCCGTGCGTTGTGTTTGTTTTTGAAAGCAGTTATGGCAAGCATCAAGAAATGATGAGGAGGTGTCGGCGCTTCTGGAGATCTACGCCGAGGACGCGACCCAAGGAATGCTACTGAAGCCAGTTCGGTAGCTTTCACTCGACCTGGGAATTGTGCACAGCCGGCTAAATATAAAGAAACTCAGGACTACAAACGGCGGATTCAGTGGCCAACGATGACTACCACGATGAAGGTAAAATCAACTACATGCACTGGGGTTTTAATCTGCACAATAATGGTCTCAGATGTACTTTTATTTGCTCAGTAGATCAAGCTAGCCATGCTAGCCATAATAGGCTAACACCGGCCCCGGCTAGCTACATCTAGCTAGCTAGATATTCTCCGCTGTATGAAAACGTTTTGACTTGTGAATAACTGTGCAGTGTTTCTGTAATTTGCTTCACTAACTCATGGCACTAATCGTCTGTTTCAGGCGAGGATGGACAACTCTCGGGATTGGAAACAAGTGAGCTTTGCATTCTAGATCACAGCGCTTTGTCGTCCTCCTTACCAGCAACCAAACGCAAAGGTACACACACTGTAACTTTGTCTTGAAAGAACGTTACGCATCGAACTGATGTTCACAATCATGTTTATTTCATAATATTCATCATATTTTATGTTTAACTTGCCTCAACAACATTAAACAAAGTTCAAGCATACATGAAGTACTCTTCAAAAAGGAACAATCCTCCGTGTTTGAACCTCTTGAATCGCTGCATAGCCGATTTATTTGGACTGGATTATCCCAGAGAGGCCAAACATTCTTTATAACACAGTTTCAGATTTGTGAAACCTTAATTCTATTTGTGAAAATACAAAAAACACATTCCTAGTATGTTGTAAAACTACATGGCGACTAAGATCTTGTATATTGCTTATTTTCCCCTCTTAGGAAAGCGGACACGGGATGCGAATTTCTTTGACACCGCCCAGGCGTTGGAGGACCGGCGTGCCGTGGTGAATGAGTCGCTGCGTGGAGATCAGATGGTGCTGTTCACCAAGGCCCAGGAAACGGAGGACAAGATGCTCACCTCGATGGAGCGCCAGGCAGAAGTGTTCAAGCAGCAGATGGAGCGCCAGCAGCACCAGGATGAAGTGTGGGCGCTGCGCCATGAGGAAGCGTCGGCGCAGCGGCAGGATGAGCGACAAACTGCATTTAATAACAGTTTATTTGGTATAGTTTTTGTAAATACTGACACACGACACACAACGTTGCACTAAGGTGTGTATGCTGCTGAGACTATCCCTACACCTGGGACAGTTTATTTTATATTGTTATTACTGTTATGACTTTATTTTATATATAATGTTTACTGACATGTACAACTGACACTTTATTTACATTTAAAATTGTTCTATTTAATGTTATGTCTTGAGAGTGCAATAAAGAAAACCGACATGGCGATTAAGCTTATTTCTCCTGACACTTTATCTTTTGTGACCTGTGTAGCATCCTATACATCACATGCAAGTGATTATTCTGATACCATCATGTTTCATCGGTTATAAACTGGCAAAGCTTTATTTGTCATTTATTTATCATCAATGTTGCAACCTTGTGGGGGAATGGCAGGGGCACATACACAAATATGATAATTTATATCATTTTAAATATTATTTGACCTAAACTTTTAATTCCCCCCCATTTCACACAACACAACATGGAGTCCACTATGGGCCAAAACTAACATGTATGTTTGCATAGTGTTTATGGCAGACGGATGCAGTGGGTCTCAGGAAGATATATAATAAAGGTGGGTTTGCTGCTGAGACTCCCTACACCTGGGAGTTTATATTGTTATTACTGTTATTATATAGTACAACTGACACTTTATTTTATATTGACAATGTTTACTGACATGTACAACTGACACTTTAGTTACATTTAAAATATTTCTATTTAATGTTATGTCTTGAGAGTGCAATAAAGAAAACCGACATGGCGATTAAACAGATCCTGTATCAGCCATCCTACGGTGAAACATGGCAATCATGTGTGCTTTCCGTCGGCCAATCCTTTTCCTAAAGCTTTTGATGCTGAAGAAACTTTGCGATTATAGCATTCGACGTGTGGCGGCTCCGGATTTTTGTCGGACGCCTAATAGGCTCAGGCTCTGGCCGCATTAACGAAGTTACAAAGCTGTATAACATGAGCACAAACAGCACAACTTCAGTCGACTCCATCTCCATCATGTCTGAGGTCGGAAGGTAAACAACAGACAGTATACGCGGGAAGTTTTTCTTCTTCTTCTCTTGTTTTGTAGCGGATTGCAAACAACTTTAAGGTGCTTACCGCCACCTACTGTACTTGTAATCTTCCCTCAGGGAAAAGTACTCCGGTGTGAACGCGATCTGTACTAAGTGCCCTGGGGTTAAAAGCGCCAGGGCTCTTAGTGCCGGAACTAAGTACAGGAAAGTACTTGGTGTGAACGCGGCTAGTGATGGCGGCGTCTCACTTCTGGAGAGGAGTTTCGTCTTTATGTCATGATAGAGAGATACAAATACTGAATAGTTTAGATGAGAAAAGGCATCGAAATGCCAGGTTACTAGTATTTATCAGTATTTATTATCACTTCACCACCTCTCTTGACATCTAGGCACTTGAGAGTGAGTCAGAGGCAGAATACAGGGACAGTGGAGAGAGGTCCATTGCTGAGGTGAGTGATGAAAGGGAAATGACAGTTGAGAGTAAATTGTGATGTGGACTCTCATCCCAGGATTTTAAGGAAATCAGTGGGGATCTTGAACAGGAAACATTTCAGTCAAGGGGCATCATATGACCAATATAGACAGAAGAGCAACATTTATTTGAACATTTAAGTCAATGATACCATTCCTAGGTGAACTTAACATCCGTGTGGAGTCAGATCAGTCTCAATATTAATAAATGCTCACAGAAGGATTCACAAATGTATTTTGCGATTTATATATAAATGACTCTCCACAACAATATCTCTCAATGCACTCACAAATATTTATTGTTGTATATAAACTGCTTTTTATTAATTCAAAGACAGCTCTGAATTAATAATCAAATATGTTTCCTTTCTTTACTACTGAAATTACAAAATGTACCCATCATTTTCCTCATGCTAGTATAGCCACATAAAAGTATCAAACCACCTGTTAAAATGCATTTTTTTTCGCCCCCACACCCCCGTTAAAAATGTCCCCCCCACATTCAGGATGCTTCCTACGCCCATGGTTGAGCCACACATTGTAAAACTGCAGCAGTAATAAAACTCAGTCCTGTGCGGAACTGGTCATGCAAAGTAGGAAAGTGAAACGTCTCCTCTCCACCAGTTTACGCACCCGTGCCTCCCTGTATACAGGCTGTGGGAACTGTGGAGCGCGTAACGTGTAACTTGCCTTCTTCGTTTGAAACAACTGTGTGTTACGACAATTTTGAGAAATGGCAGGTAAGAGTTCACGGTCGAAATTAACTTTAAAAGTAACTTTTGTGCATTTGCCGGAAATATGGAGGCGATCGCAAGCGTAATGCACCCGACCTGTTTTTTTACTGTAAGTGGTAGCTATATGAGGGCATTGAAGAGGGTAGAGGTGAGGAATGTGATTTCATACATTTAAATTGATCTACAAAGTCTGTCAAAGTAAAGTTTGAGTAATGCTGCATTTTTGTACCGTGTGCTGGCAAGTATAGGCCTGTTAGTTTCACTTTGCTGGCGCTCATATCCGTCCTATTTTCTGCCGTTGTTAGTCCATATGTAAAACATACAATGAAAATAAAACAATACAATTTAGCCTTTTTATGTATAACTAATTTCGATCAATCAGCTTTTTGTATAACATATAACTTTGTTGTAATGACTTTACCACATTTATATCAGTGATCATATATTGTATGCTTATTCAATGTTTGTGGCCTGTAGCCATCAGGCTGCACAACCAGGGGTTAACAATGTAACCCATTTAAAAAGTAACCCATACAGCACAATTACTTTGACCTACACTAGTACACACACATACATGTATATATTTTTTGCCTCTTCTAGATGAGCTGAACAGGATTAGGGTTAAGTTTGTGGACAGCGCGAACAAAGAACTGATCAAGGAGCTCCTGGACGGCCTTTTAGAGGTTGGTGTCTTGAATGATGGCCAGAAGGACTCAATTCTTGAGGAGAATCCTAGCACGAAAGACAAGGCACGTGCTCTCATTGACAGAGTTAGGAGAAAAGGAGATGATGCCAGCAGGAAGATGATCGCTCTCCTTCAAAGCAGAGATCAAACACTTTATGATTCACTCGGTCTTTCCTCTGGGAAACCTGCTCAGCCAGGTGAGCAGACACAGTTCAGCTGACATTGAAGAACTTTTCAGAAAAGTAAGTGGAAAGTACAGTATATAGCCTTTGTGAGGCAAACACCACCTAACAAGCAATACTGATGCTCTGATTTGTTTTGTTAATTGCAGACACGTTTGTTTGAAACCTACAGGTCATGCAACGCTTTGAGGACTTTTCCGTGAACAACAAAAGACAGATGCCGACCAAAGACAGGGTCACTGACAAGGCGCTTCTACTTCTTTTTTACTTTTTATGGTGTGTATTAATTTTTTCCATGTTTTAAAATACAAATAAACTTTACTATCTCTAAATTGTGTCCTTACTTGACATCAACATTCAGCACTCATGTTGTTTTGAAATAGTTTTCTTTAACAAACAGGTTGGGAATGTCTACTGTTGTGGGTCACACAATGTGAATACACCTAAACAAAGTAAATCCCTGGGCTTTTAGCTACATGAACATGTAGCCAAAAGCATTAACATGGTCAAATAACAACATAAAGTTCAGATTAATCGTGTCTTTATTCAAACTAAACCCAATTAATGTAAATAAAGTGAAATGTGCATTTTCAGCCTATATTCCCCAGTTAACCTTCTTAGTAAAAAAAAGCCATCTTGGTGTAACAGAATTGACCCACAGGAAATACCCCATCTTTTGAATTCAGAAATATATACATTTCTCAACATTTTTGAAGACCCTTGAACCACGTTAACCCAGCTCATGAACTCAGTGTTTTTCAGTCATCTTGAACACGCATACAATATAATAATAATTAGAATAATAATACATTTTATTTATCAAGCGCTTTTATCAGTTGCTCAAAGACGCCTAATATCAATTTCTTTCTATTATTGTAAGGATTTACTTCCCATTTTTGTTGGGCAACTATGTCCTTTTGACATTTTACTGTCCATTAACACTTTCCTCACAGTAAAAGCAAACAAATAATAACTGTAAAACATTATTTTATACACTAATACAACTGTACACTAATTGAAATACTTTCAACTGCCCTTAGCTGATGTCTCAGGTCTACATATAAAACAAAGTAGAATTGTATGTTTTCACTAAAACGTTCATCATAAAGCACAGTGATAGTGATGGGATAATAACGGTAGCTAATAATATGCTTGCAGTGTTGATGCACCACAGTATGTAATCATTTGATGTATTAATTATTGGTTTTGTATATAGTGTCATTTTGCTTGAAAATTCCAAAGCATTTCCACTTTCAAAACTAACTTTTCTTAAAACATATATATTTTAAATTACATTAACCCTGTGGGAGCAGATACTCAATACTTCATCAATGTTCTGGCTACGAAAAACACAAATCATAAGCAGAAAATGTATTAATCCTTCACTATAAGGTAGTGATGCTAAGTTTTGTTTTGTTTGCCACTCTGACCTATATACACATATATATTAGATAAACTGAACAGGTTCATGGAAAGGAGAGAAATTAAAAGTTTTTTTTGGCCACGCGTTATAGCATCAATCAATGTTTCCTCACCAGTTGTAGATGGACCTGGCTATTTAACATCAACACATACCACAGATGGTTTCACACCATCACTTTAAACAGACACCACAAGAGCCTCCCTCCGTAAAGACAACATCCAGTATATAACAAACCTCAGAATTATAAAACCTGCAGGCTGTGTTTGGGTTTGGCTAAAATGAGAAACCAGATGAATAACATGTGACAACATTTACTCTGATCATGATGATTATTTAATCTATACTTACAGGCCCACCAAACGTCCACACATTACAGTTTACACCCAGATAAACACAACAGCTAACATGTAAACTATGAAACATTTCTTCATAAATCTGAAACCGCGACTTATGACTTATCAGAAATGCCACAGTTATGAAACGGTTTTTAAAAATACAATAATTTCCATTTTAAACACCTAAACATCATGTATTTGTAAAATCAATGCACAAACTCTGTATGGGATTTTTCAGACAAACTTTACTTGAAAATAAAAAAGAAACTCATATTAAACAAACAAAACGATGTCATTACAATACCACACAAAGGCAACACGTTGAGTAGGCAACATGGTCACATGGGTACAGTCTGTGCTTGTCATGAGAGTCTTTAACAGGGCTACTTTAAGTTCATGCTTTCACTGACGCACCATGTTCACTCATAAAAATAAAGTAGCTTGACAGAAGGATATGTTCTGTTTAAAGCTCGTGGTTTATAAAAATACATAAAACAACAAGGGTTTGCCACTTACAGAACAGAATTACCAATCCATATCAGACTAGACTTTGAACAGTTTATTTGAACATACTGGCAGTGTTAGAGAGTCTGTTTACACTTTATACAAAACAAAGACACAGGTGGTTAATATCAAACGCTCATGTTCTCATCCCACGACTCACACTCAGTACTTTCAAACATGAAACTACAAATGAACATATCCTCTTTCCAATGCACACACTCACACACAAAAATAGAGCATGTCGTAACACAACTGGTTAGGCCAGATGAGTGAAGTTAACATTACTTTCATAAATGACAAAAGATACTTGGCAGTGTGACAATTCTACAAGCAAAATATCCAACACGTCGTCCCCTTTGCAATAGAATGAACATATCCTCTTTCCAATGCACACACTCACACACAAAAATAGAGCATGTCGTAACACAACTGGTTAGGCCAGATGAGTGAAGTTAACATTACCTTCACAAACGACAAAAGATACTTGGCAGTGTGACAATTCTACAAGCAAAATATCCAACACGTCGTCCCCTTTGCAATAGAAAATAAACACTACTTTACAGTGAACTAAACCATGCAGAGCTTTTGAAGGGAGGTAGAGGACATCAGAGACAGAGAGTAAAATAAAAATAAATATGTATCTATAGATAACGTGGCTCTGAAAACACTGCAGATTAGTGGCCCATCTTTTTGCCTGTACAACACAAAATATACTTTACATCTGAATAACTGTCATATTTGGAAGTTGGAATGTATTAGTATAGTGTTACAAGTCGCTAAGTAACTTTTCATTCAATAATTTACTTTTGGAAACATCATTATATTGTTGACAACATTCAACACTCAGATAAACCGTTAGCAGCACCACACATTTACAAAGTAGCAACTCATGCGAAAACACATCTGGCCCTGTACGCCGTGCGCAGAATGTGTCAGTATGTAAAGCACCTTGCGCTAAACATGTTTTAACTTTGCATTTATGAAAACAGGAAACAGAAAATGTGTATCGGTTGTGTTTTTGCTCTGTTGTGTGTGCGGTTGTGTGTCTTTGTGTGACTGTGGTTGAGGTTTAAGCCAGCGTTCCCCCAACAATAGAGGCAATGACAACTCCCAAAATCACACAGCATATAATAATCATAATTTTCTTCTGTAAAGTGTAAACGAGATCAGAAAAACAGTCATCCATGGCAGCAAAATGGGGAGCAGAGGAAAACATGTTAGATATATGATTTGTATTTTATTTTAACACATGTTACAAGATGTTTTATTAATTAAGACAAAATTCAGATTTGGATAAATACTTTTTTTTAATGTATCTGATGATGTTTTGGTTAAGAAGTATTTCCACATCATCTACTTTAAAAAACATAAATAATTTAACAACATGTATTTACACAATCCACAAATGTGAATCTTTTTCATATTTAAAGCCACTATTTGTATAATATGTGTGGAACTACATCAAGAAAAAGGCTTACAGCAGTCTTATACACCGGCTCGATTTTTACCAAGATTGTCAATTTTTTCTTTGAGCATGAAAAAAAGTTATATGAGAGGATTGATACCACACTATTGTAAACGAGTAGCTGAAGCCAGCATCCGGTCAGCTTAGCTTAATTTAAATAATAAAGGGGAAAAGTGTGTGGCTATGTCCAAAGGTAAAAAAACACACACATATGAGCACGTCTTTAAGCTCATTGATAAAGTTCAGTTAATTTGAATTCCAAAAGTAAATGTCAAAATAAATACTTTTATGCCAATCAGCCGAGTTGCCAATCTGTGCGATGGGTACTCGTGGTACTGCAAACAGCTTTAAAAAAAGTAAACCATAAATATTTTATATGTTTCAAGCTTTCCCAAAAACGTGAAACTTTTTTAATAAGTGAATAACATCAGAAGTCACTGCTCTATGCTAAGAACACGTTATGCAACTTGTTTTTACACATCATCTTAACCAATCCTCTCACCTAAATGCAAATTAGTGTATTTGCCAAACAGTAGAAATATTTGCTTAATGCTTTATAAAGGGAAACATTTGGTCACTGAAAAATATATTTAGCTCTTATTTCAAGACCATTTTTTAAATGATCAATTAATAAAATCACACCTCTGCAGAGTTGTGTATGTATAACAAAACATGTAACACAGGATGCAGAACATGCACATGACAAAAGTACGTGAATCATGACACAAGCAGACACAAAGCACAAGAAAGTTCCTCAAGGTATTTGAAAAAGTATATATATAAAAACTTTATGTGAAATAAAATGTAAAATGTTTGATTACACACTATTCGACTGTCTTTAGCAGTTAGCAGTAACTGACTGCGCAAGACAGAGCTCACTTTCTACATTTCACACTGAGAGGAAGGCATCGACTCCGCTCTGTCTGCTCTGGATTTCTAGGGGTCCTAACTGAGTCCAACTGCGAGGCAAATAATGAGGACGATCACACCTGCTGCAATACAACCCGCTATCAGCATCACCTTCTGGATGGGGGGAAAGGAGCGCATTGTGTCAGATACATATTCTTTGGATAAAGAAAGAGAACGAGTGAGAAACTGAGAGTAATATCAAAAGTAGGGAAAGAAAGAAAAATACTAGTCTTTAATTATGAGTGGGGATAAAATCATGTAGATGACCCTTTTGTTCATACATGCGATGTATGAAATTCCTCTACTTTTGAGTGCTGTTGTATATATAAACCAGGAGGTGGCAGAGTTGTTCCACTGTGGTGCAGGTTGTTAAAATGAAGTTAGCAGTAAATAACCCTTTTTATGAAAAGTGGCCCAGTCGTTCAAAGTCGTTTTTGTCTGCTGTCCCTACAGCACATTGAGAGGAGCTCAATATCCCTTCATCTACTCACACTGTGATCAACAGCCCCCTTGCCTCTGTCCAAGCTTCACAATATCCACTTATCGGCACCTCTTAAGCACACTAGAATAAATGTGAAATCCTTGCAAAACCAAAGTGAAAAAAAACAATATTGTGCTTTTGGTCGTTTTTAGTATGAGCGAAATCTGACAAGGAGGTTCATGTTGGACATTCAAAAACTGCATCCCTTCTTTAAGTTATTTATTTAGCTCATCCTACTGCTTACTTATCAGATTTCACAAACTCTCAGCAGCAAGTGGTTTTTCAGTTGTGTTATTTTGTTTGTTTCTAGATATAGGTTACACCTTGGAAACTGCAGCTAGATCCCCTGAGGAACACATACCCCTGGTTTGAAATCACTGCTGTAGAAAATGTAGATTACACTCACGACACAAATGCTCACCATGCAGAGCACATGCACAAACTCTGTCCACAGTTACACACTGCCAACAATACATGCAACGATCAGAAGTGATTTATTCATGTGATAGCAGGTCTGTGCACATGCATTTTTTCGTGGTATATGAGACTCACCCTCCGGGCTTTACTCTGGTATTTAACCGCCTTCTTAGTGTCTGATACTGCCCTCTCCACATAGTCTACTGAGTGCTCCACATTGTACTCTATGCGGTCTATCATTTCCCCCTAGGAGAGGTTAGTTAAAGAGGAGGTGTGGAAGACATGCAGACAGGAAGAAGAAAGAGGGAGCCAGATGTGGAGGCAGGAGTAGAAAGAGGAATGGATACAGATGGAGAGGAGGGGAGGGAGGAATAATGGGTGAGAATGAGAAGCAGAGAGAAGGGGAAGCAGAAAGGGAGAAAGGAAATAATTAGTCAGTTCGTTGAATATGCATTTTCAATCTCACCCGTTTGCCTGTCTTTTTGAACTTTTTGCATTTTGGGATGTTGTCCTTTGCCTGCTGCACATATTCATGAGCGCCCAGCACACTTCGCTCGATGTTGTTCACCAGTTCACCCTGAACAATAAAAAAGAGACACAGTCATTGTAGTGTTGGTGAGAGCTCACATTGATACCACCTTCAACCACATAAGAATTATATTACATTGACGTATTTTAATTACATTGATGCCAATATGTGTGAGAATGGGAACAACTGCTGTGGATAGCATACTGCTCTGCTTAACTTGTGAAAGCAGAATGTGATTTACCATGTTTTAATCAGCATGAATTAATAAAGAAAGTCCATATTTCAAATTAAGCATTGATCGAGGATTGTTAAACAATGTAACCATGTTTTAGTACAGTGACAACTAAGGTAATCCTTACAGTTCTTCATGCATCCACTGCAACTGTGATTCAAGAATAAAAAAAGAAAGAACAAATTAGGAATCATCGAAAATTACCTTTCTGCATTAGGAGGGGATCGCTGTTCTCTGTTCTCGAGAGCTTAGAGTCATTGAGGTGATGACAGTGTTGTGAAAGCAGAGAGAAAAGAGAGTGCAAAGCTCAGGAAGGCAGAATTAACAAAAGACAGAATTATAATCTTTAAATGTGTGGTGCTCTGTTAATAAAGGAAAAGTTAGTAATTGAGCTAATTACATGTAGGGAATTCATATTTGTGACAACACAATGAAAAAGACACACACACACACACACACACACACACACACACACACACACACACACACACACACACACACACACACACACACACACACACACACACACACACACACACACACACACACACACACACACACACACACACACACACACACACACAATTATCACTCCAACACTTCAATTATGAGGGGAAGTCTGCTATAGCATTGTGCTATAATTCAAATCACTTAAATGCAACCTTTTTCTTTCATATTTGTCATTTAGCACATTATCTTTTATGCATGGGCTCAGAGTCTTTTGCATAATTCAGAAAGAGTATTTCTTCTGAGGGAAACAGTGAATCTCTGTGGGGATTCAGCTAAGACAATCACACAGTCACATATACAGGCAAGACATACAGGTTTACATGAAGCAAGACACTTCACTGAGAAGAGTAAAGGCAACTCGTAAAAAATATATATATGTGTGTCTATGAAGAAGCTATAAGAGAACTTCATATTACTCGTGCAATGATGTGCACTGCTCACTGCATGATGCAAGTTCCACCGTACAATGTATATAGAGCCTCTGTTCTCTAACATAATCATATTTCTACCCCAGGAGAATTATGTGTTTTCAATTTACAAAACCCTGCAAAGATTACAGTTTGTTTATGATTTAAGTCTCTTATAAAACAGCAAGTTAAAGCAAGGCTAATTAGTGGCCAATTTGAAAGACCCCGACATCATATTTCCCCCAGTTCTTGAATGCAGCATTAGAATTAGAATTAAAAATGGACTCATGGCATACATCCCCAAATGACTAAATTACTAGCTCATTTGAAGGCATTCATTATTTGTGCACCAACATCTGTTCTGGACACACACTCAGCACTGATGAACCCACTGCTTTAACTCTAATGAAAATAGCATAGGTTCAGTGAGGAAGAATAATATTTGGTATGCTTAGGCCTGCAGGTTATTTAAAATCAAGATTATTAAATATCCTGCCTTTCACTACTCTCATCATGCTCACTCATAATTTCCTCCTGTGATTAACCAAGGCTGTCAATCATGTTATCAGCTGATCTCATCTATCCAGTAGCACAGCAACACACCTCCATGGATGGCCTATTATCTTTCTGCTGTCTCCTATTAAATAAGATTATGTCTCTGCCTTTAGTGCCGTTACACTTCAACCTCCCCTTCTCAGCCCAGTTTTCAGAGATTCTTTAGTCACAGCCACCCAGACTCTGCCGTATCATCATCGGGTGATTATCAGTATCTTGCTGCTGCGCATGGCAGACGCCCCTCCATTACAAACCTTTCTGCAGAATCTAAGCGTTGAAGACTTTTTATCATGATTTATCATCACATATCATCTGTTGTAATGATGTTTCATCTTTTGTTTATTCACATGTCTCTCCTGACTGAAATACGCTCTACAACTTGTATGTAAATTGACTGCCAGTTGCGTCTGTCTGAAGAAGAGTTATTTTCACGACGGGGAGAAGCAGCAGCTGCTGCAGCAGGATGGCTGGTTAATGACTGTGAACACAGTGTGCTTCCGAACTTTTGCATTAGCCAGGGCACTTTTTTAAACCACTGACAGGGAGAAACTCTAAATCTACAAACTGGATTTGTAAGTCTTATTTATGTCGTCAGTGGCGTCCATGTTGGATAATGTATCGCCAATTTATGAATGTGTTAGCAGGTTTGTGTTGAGATGCATTTGGCTGGGCCCCAAACCACAGAGCTGTAGGTAGAGAGAATATGTTTTCACCTGGCTCTCCACCAGCATGGCCATGTCCATGAACATGTCGTGAAGCTCTCTGATGCTGTTTTCCAGCTTGATGATCTCAGTGTGCCGTGTCTCAATCTCATTCATAGCTTGCTCTGTGATATTGTCCATAATGATCTAAAAGGGATCAACAGATGGAAAGAGTTATGAGAGGAATAGAAGTCGGATTAAAACATTTGCTTTGTTGGCATTATTGTATGCTTACCCCGGAGGTGAAGATAGCCGGGTTGTCACTCTCCAACATGCTCTCCAGCTCCTCGTTTGTTGTGTTTCTCCCAGCTAAAACGGCAAACACACATCCATAAACATCCATAGTAGCAATCATGTCTGTAGGAGCGTTACCATGTGAGGATATTCAAATCTGTTTAAGCTCAGGATTTAAGAAGTGTAGGAGCAATACCATCCGATTAAAGGTTCTCCAAACCAGTTGACGAAGACCACATTAGAAAAGAACAAATCTTTGTATGATAATAGCAACCCCCCCCCCCCCACCCCCCCCCAACCCAGCCGTCTGTTTGATGATTAATTAAAACTAGGCTGTGTGGCTCTCCTTTCCACATGCCCATTTTCTCTCTATCCATCTGTCTCTCTAGTATTAATCATGTTGCATTTTAAACTCTTTATTTATGCATCTCTCTGAACAGTGGTAGATGTGATATACAAATCCAGAGTGCCATTATTTAGTCTATCATCGTGCATCCGTATTAGGTTTGTCAGTATTCAACGTTTATTCAACCACAAGCCTCAGTTAAAGCCCACAACCACTAGCCTCCACATGCACACTTCAACACATCTTCAGTCATATCACACGGCTCTGTCTAAACACTAACAGCCGAACAGCTGAGTGAACTCCAGCCTGAAATGGTCTCCTTGTAGAATTACAGTATGAGGGCAATCAAGGCTTTACAATGACAGACCTAGGATTCTACTGAGGCTCTCATTACTATGTTTTCTTCATCTATAGACCAATTAGTGGAATTGGATGGATTTGCTTATACGGCGTCAAGGAATATAGCCAAAACTTCTCACGATTAAATACTGCATTTAATCATTTGCCCTATATACCCTCTTTCATCCTGTGCATGACATACAATAAGTGTCATTTACCACAAATACTGTTAGGAACAAAATAAATGAATACTATGCAAGTATTCTGTTGTGAATATATCTCTGTCTCTCCAGCTTATAAAACCTACTGTACAAGCTTGAGTAATTTCAGTTTTTTAAAAGAGCAGATAGGCACTGCATATTAGGGTCTTCAAAAGAAGACAGGTCAGGATGAAAATACTGAGTCAGAAACATCATGTTTGTATCCGAACAGCTTGTAGCGGTTAACTGAATCTCATGCTTGAAGATAATCTTTTGACATGTTCTCCCCTCCAATTGATGCCAAAGTGTGCATACAGGCCTTTTGTGTGTAGCTAATGAAGAGTAAACAAAGTTAGTGACATCCTCTACTGTTTCACTACCTTACATTTGCCTTAATCACCAAACAATCTTTCAATCTCTCCACCTGCGACCCAGCATGTATCAGCACATCTTCCTGCTGTTGAGTTTGCTCCTCTTCCATCTTTATCTTCCCAATGAGAGTTGACCCACTTCATAAACAAGTCCCTGACACCTACATTTATGAGCGCTGACTTTGCCTTCACAGCTGCTTCTCGTGTGCTTCATTTCTGCCCCACTGATACTGTAAGTCAGAGTCAGACACCGTCAGCATCATCGCCAATCGTTCAGCTGCACATGAAATCCTCTGTTGGGCGAAAAACAGTATAAACAGAACAGGGCTATCTCCTCTCTGTGAAGACACCCTGCATCCCTCACAAGCCGTTACCTGGTTTACAGGACGAGCTGAGGTGTCATAGACAAAAGAGAGACTTAAAGTAATCTGCAAGTAACTGCATTTCAAGAAGAAGGAGTTTGATATGAAATAGGAAGGAAGCTCTCATCATAAAATCTCAGCAGTTCAACCAAACACATGAACTAAAAGAGCTCAGAGGTCAAAATGAGCTTAAAACTGTGTTTGACTTTCTCCTGTTTACAGAAAGCATTTCTGTACTTAAAATGTTACTTGGATTTTTCTCCTTCGCCTTTGAGATTGTTTCGTTTGAGAGCTTTTAATAGGCCGAAAGAGTATTTTACAAGTAAAACAGCATTAAAACAGCAAAAGAGAAAAGACACCAGAACTACTACAAGAGCACTAGCTTTGCTAAGTTAGCTTGCTTATGAGTTATCGCAGCTACTGGCATCCAAACAGTCAAGTTCCAAATCAAGGTAACTCGTCAGACCACTCCCTTTCATCCACAATGTAAGTCAATGGAGCTACAGCTGTCACTGTCAGATATTGCTCTACCTTTTCTATCTGGACCTCCAGCATTTGTGGCACCCAGTAGATTATGAAGGCAAATATAAACCTCTATTCATGACCTAATCAGTGTGTGTATTGTGTTGTTTGATGTGTGATGAAGGCCTCAGTGCAGAGCAGGTAGGTTGACGGTGAGTGACGATGTTTGGGAGTCGTAGCAGATGATTGCCTCCATGAACAGAATACTGATGAAGCTGCTCTCAAATGTTGATCGGTGCATGAACATGTGTCCATGTGTTTTTCAGGGAGCGCATTTACATTTACATTTACTGGGCCTATCATGTCTAATCCAAACTTCATATCCATATCAAAGCAATGAATTTAATTTAGTTGTGGTTTAGCAGTCCTGCTGTTTCAGAAGCGGGCTTGAGAATCAACTCATGTTCAACTATGACATTTTAGAGTTTTACAAATGAAAGGACACAAAGAGGACTGATATACAACGTTCACCAATGATCATTTCCCTTTTCTCCAGGCCTCTCTGATAATAAGGAATCTCACCATCATTAACACTAAAACTACAACATCAGAGAGGGTCACAGTTAGGGGATGAAGGATGGAGAGGAGTGACAATGAGTCACGGATAATTGTGAAGTAGAACCAAATCAATGCACTCTAGTGCTACCCTACCCTATTTATCCCACTCTCTACACACACACACACACACACACACACACACACACACACACACACACACACACACACACACACACACACACACACACACACACACACACACACACACACACACACACACACACACACACACACACACACACACACACACACACACACACCACACACACACACACACACACACACACACACACACACACACACACACACACACACACACACACACACACACACACACACACACACACACACATACCACACACACACTGACAGGCTCTGAGGGAGGCTCTTATTTGTTACCATGGAGACCCAAACCCCGAGAAGCCGAATATGAAGCCAATAAGTCTCACTTCAACCGTAGCATTTATGGGCAATTAAGTCACTCATACTATGTTGCTACCAGTAACAGTATTGTTTCATTTCCATTGTTATGTAACACAAATTAAGTGAGCCCCCTAAGGAACAGAGTGAAAAGGCAAACCACACAAATGTTCACCCATGCAGAGCGAAAGAGGCAAGTGTTTTCTTTTTTTAAGGCTTCTGTTCGCAGCAATTTCAGCAGCAAAGGAATGAGAAATTGTATCTCATCTGCACACATATAGGTACATTTCTCTGCTATACAGGGAAATGTGTTGTTATCACCTGCATTGTGAGTGTGTCTCTCTTAGCATAGTGTCCACAGGGAAATAAAACATTACAATCAAATGTCAATGACGCTCTGTGATGCCTGTGACCAACATCCCCTCCATCCTGCTGGTAAATAAATATGTGGTATTTGAAGTTATTAATAAACTAAAAATAATTATTATAAATTAGATGCGATACTGTTGTTGTCGAGATTTACATAAGAGGATTGATATAACTTTGATCAGTTTGTCATTGACACATGAAGCTAGAGCCAAAAGGCAGATGTTCTGTCCTAGTTTATTCCCTAATTAATATCCTGTCTGTTTGTTTGAATGGTATAAAAAAGTGCGAAAACGTCATGTGGTTTAAAAGGCTGTGCTATTTCATGGAGTCACCACTGGATGCCAATAAAACCACAGCATCTCAGTTTTATGCTTTGATGTTTGTGTGGATATAACACAAGTGTGATGAGTGAGATTTAGATGTGCTGGTATCTGTTGTTGCTTGTCATCTCCTGGCTCCAGCTTCATAATTAACGTACAATCGCCTGGTATCCATTTTAAAAATGTTTTGTATCAAACTCATGACAATCATTGTTTATTAATGAGATAAGAAAGGGATCAAAGTTATCCAAACTGTTAAATAATACATTGTACTGTATTCTGCAAATAAAGGGCTTGACTTGAAGATATGTGACAGAAGTATCTGCAGTACATGGAAACTACAGTATCAGAAGAACCTGAACAAGTGCAGCCATTTTTGTCAAAATAATTCTAAATAAATATAGAAAAGCATTTGGTGAGGGTAGATGCAAATGCAGTTGGGCTTGGGGTTAATGTGGCACAGTTTTCCATGCAAATAATGCCAAAAATGCTGCTCTCTTGGCTCGTTAACTGTATGTCACAGAATCACTTCCCTGTTTCTCTTATCTCTGTATCTCTGAGTGAAGCAGCAAAGTAAACATCGATACTGGGTCCGACAGACGAGACAAGGTGTCCCTCTGTGTGTGACACACTCCTATTGATTTACACACAAACAAGTCAAAGGGGTAGGCAAAACAAGAAATACACTTCTCTTGTCATATAACACAAAGGAATTGTAGTGTGTCAAAATCAGGACCAATGTTATCTGAAGAGGAAAACGTAACTTTAATCAAGCAGAATCCCCATGTGGCACTCTTTAGACTTTCCCTGGATAAATTACAGCTATTGGTCGTGGGTCAGGGCACCCATGCCTCTCTTTTAGCATGCAATTATACTTAAGTGGAAGGAAGTTGCCCCACCCACACATCCACAGTGTTTTAAGGACATGTTTTACACTGTAAGATCAGGCAGACAGAGCTTGGATCGGAGAAAACGATTTATGGTTGCTTACACTGTTTTATTGAAAGCTAACATGTCATTATTGCTTAAATTATTCCATACAAATAATTGTATACCCTCTTATTTTCATGTATAGAAAAATCCAGCAGGGAATTTGGAAGGGAGGATGGCTTGTTAAACTTCAAATGCATTAAAAGCAAATCCCCATTACTCCTAAATTTTCCTCTCCTTTGTGCTCTCACTCTGTCTCCACACCATCCTGTGTGTTGTAATCCCTTCCCTGACGACAGGTCGTATCTGCTAAGGCCTCCTGTGACGCCTTCAGCTGACACACCAAATCCAAATGAACCGGGATGAGCTCAAGAGGAAAGTGAGTCAGACGTGTGTGCTTTAATTCCATGCGGATGCGTTTGTGTTTGTTTATTGATTAACCCCAGACAGTACTGTGTGTTGTCACTTCTGTTCTTTTGACTTTAGTGCTCACTGCTCACACACACAGACCTGATGCAAGTCTGACAGATGGCCAGAGGAAATTACGTCTGTGCCAAGCGCCCTGCATCCTAACTGCCCCTGCTCCCCTCTGCTATTACCACTAAATGAGTCATAGTGTTTTTCTCTGCATGCTTTGTGTAAAAGGTGACTGTATCACAGGGACTGTCAGCAGGAGCCGGCACGATGCAGCATGCCACGATGTCGTGGCACAGGGCCGTGTCAGAGTCTGGTCCAGGAGCTCGGGGCCTGCAGATAATACCTGTCATTTCATATTATGCATACAAAGTGTGACACAAAGTGTGAGGAGCTGCAGCAATCTGGCATGTGCAGTATATGGGTGTAGGTGTTAGTGATGCACGTGTTTTGGAAAGTGGATTTAGTGTGAGATTTGTTGTTTTGCTACACTACAACAGAAACATTCTAATAAAAATACTGTATAGAATTAAATTACATTTCTGTCAACAACACCAATTCTTTGGGTGGGATGATAATGGTTGGGCGTACTCTGAGTTATATGTAATGCTGTCAAATGACACTCTAAAGCATTTGTTTCCAGCATATTTGCACTTTGTGTTACATATTTATGAGATGTTATGGTCTGTGTTCTTTGTTATACTTTCCTGTCAGACAAATGTCCCCTTGGGGACAATAAAGGCCTGGAACTGAGGTAAATACCTTTTTACAAACCACGTTAAAGCCTCTTTTTTCATTAATAATAAATGCAACAAACTGTAGGTAACAAGATTGCAGAAGACGATGGGGAACATGTGGTTTTATAATTCCAACTGCACAAATACCCAGTAGAGTGGATGGTGTCAATTCATTTAAGCTTACTTAGACTGTTGAAAAAGCGTTTACCAACAGAATTATCAAGACAATGTGTGGGAAGTGTTTATGACGCTAGCAGAAGGTTGTGCTGGTTACGTTTTTTCATGCCAGAATTCACAAAGCAAAGACTTTAAAAATAGAAATAAATGAAAGGCTTACTTAAGCAGTTTAGGGACTACAGCACCACATGAATCTGATCAATTATGTTGTTAATATTATGAGCTGCAGTAGTTTGCATGTCTATAATTCCAGTCATAGAAACTTATTACATCAATCACAAATGTATACATAGTATATAGCAGTACTGGCATATCTTTAGACATATCAGGTAGACAGACTTAACACAATAGTTGAAAGAGAAATATGAAAATGAACAGCTGTTTTGGACAGAAATGACCCAAGCTGATTAAAAATGTCAGCCCATTTAAAGTGGCTGCCTCATTGAAGGTTTGTCATATGGTAGATCACGCTTGTAAGCCTTAACCAAATAGTACATTTACATTTTATAGTCATGTCAGTTCAAAATGTCATGAATTCATCATTTTATCCTATTAGAGATTTGTGTGAAATTATCCTAATTAGCATATGACTTATTGAGTTAAGGCCAAAAACCAGTTGGTGAAGTCCCAGTGGCGTTGATCTATTATCTATTTAGTGCCTCCGTAAGCTTAAGGTTATTGGAAAATGTGTTTTATATTAAGACATTTCCTTTCCAAGATATCATGTTTAAAAGAATGGGACGATAGAAAGTAGAAAAATAATTCAGAAAAATATGCATAACACCTCGCTTTTGGCACGAATATCTAAATCCACATGAGTTTTGATACAAACTAGAAAACTGCAACACTATGACTGGGAAGAGATGCAGATGTGTGATTCTCACAGTGTTATCACGAGTGCAGTCAGTATGAGGGTGGTGGAGGGTTTAGTCTCCCACGTCTACTCACTGATCTCCAGCTGTCTCTGAATGCGTCCCTTGCAGCGCTCCCTGTAATCCGACTGGGTGGTGTTGTACTCTGACATCACCTCGACAAACTTACGAGACAGTGTGGAGTGCTGGAGACACAGCGAGGAACAACAGCATCACACACCGACTTAATAAGTACTTTGAATTGTAAATGAACCGATGAGCAGCAGGTGCAAACATACAATGACATTCAGTGTCAGTGTGTCCCTAATACATACTACAGTACTATTCTGAGTCAGTTTTATGTATACAGTATAGTGTGTTCCCACTGAAGTGACACAATTAATTAAACTCAAAGCAGTCAGTGAGCATGCTAAAAGGCGAGAGGAATATGGAGGAGCTGCAGTGAAACAGTTCCAAGCAGATGTTGGCAAGCAAAAATAAGTGTAAAGTACGTTTAATTGAACTGTACCTGCGTCTTGCGTATCCTCAGGTCAGCTGATGACTTGTTCTGACTTTCTTCTTGCTCAATGGATTGTTGGATACCTGCAAAGATACAATAAAATGTGCATTCATTATCAGCGAGAGTGCTCTCTTTTAAAATTAACAAAAAGATGAAATAAAACATTATGACTGCAGTCTTGTTAGTTGTCTTTAGAGGTTCATTACACTAAACCAAATAAAAGTGTCGTATGAAACAAACTGCACTGATGATTTTAGTGTCCTTAGAGTTTTAGGATTTAGGATTACTGAGATTAAAAAACAATTTTTAATCTAAAATAAGTAATAACTCTCAGTAAGTAATAAAAATCCTTAATTGTTTTTCAGATATCTTAGTATCTAGCTTGTAGTTATTTTATATATGCACATCAGATACAGATTAGCCTCGTTGGCAATACTTTTGGATGTCAGGCTCCCTCAACAAAATGTATTAAAGAAATTCACATATAAAAGTACGAATCTAAGAAAAAAGATGATACAGAAATGTAAATATATGGATACATTATACTGTAAGATCAAATACAAATATACCGTTTTTTTTTGTAGAAACTAACCAATTTCTAATTCAACACATGGCTGCTTGAACAGCACTTTCCTTACTACTGCCTTACATTCACACCTCAGCAAGTAATTGAAGAGGAGCCACTGCCAGAATAATAGCGTACATTCAAGACTGTCAATGTGAGGCCATGTGAAGCAATCATCAATTGAATGTGAATTATACAGAGATGTAATGCCTGCTCATTTACATTCCAGTTTTACTGTCATTTTAACTGGGATGAGACGGCTGTACCAGCTCCTGCACATTTTTCATCATCAGACCCTTATTGTGAGATGTGTACACCTGCAGCTCTGAGTGAACCTACTGTACGCCTCCCTGTCTGCAAACAGCCTGAGCATATAGTCAATATGTTTACTTACAATTAATATCCACATTGTTTAGTTTAACATAGCAATAAAGCAACCGCCTTCTTCTCGGACAATAATGTTCTTTGTCATAAATAATTGGGTTACTATTATTTTTTTAGCATATTCATATCTAGATAAACTGCATTTGATTGTGTCAGTACCTCCTCTCTGTACTATGAAAACAAAGTCAAATCTAAATTATTTGTAACATTGAAATGTTGCCAAAACATTTGTGGGAATTATTAAAGCCACCCGTTGATCTTGTTGAATCTGTGTCTTCATAGATTCAGGCTCATCTCACCTACAACCTGAGTGTATTCAAACCCTACTGAAAATGTAGTTAGTTTGTACTCTCAACACACATTATAAGTAACAAGTATTTTTAGAAAAAGTTTTAAATTCAAATGTTTCAATTGAAAAAGGAGCTTTGTACTCTTACATGACCTTTCTGTAAGTCAAAAAACTTCTGAAGCAATTTGAGGGTGTCCCTTTTGCTAATGTTCACATGTCTGAAACTACCCCAAAATGTAAATTAACTCACTGAATCCATGACGTAGATCGAAAATGATCTCAAGGCAAAAGGTACAGTAAATGACGTGAGTCCCTCTTGAGGATCTATCCCAGGATGTAGTTACGCACGCACGTACGCACGCACACTAAGGTAACCTGTGGCAACAACTGATGTGGAGTGGAGTGGCTCCGTCAGAGGCCTGTGATGCAGAGCCTGCTCTGATTGATAGCACTTGTGTGTACCACTGTACATGTATGAGCATATGAAACTGTGCGAGTGTGTTTATATATGGCTTTAGTCCCGCAGTAGGAGAGAAAGGGGCTATTATCTTCTAGCCCTTTCTCATCACGTTATGCTCTACTTCCCTGAAACATACTGTATACAGATCTTTTATCCCTGACCTCTATTCTTTGACAACTGAGCCTGTTAGGGAGGCACAGGAGAGAGTTTTGGGCAATGGAAAACAAGGTTATGTGATTGACAGAAGCTTTGCTTTTGAATATGGTAAACTCTTGGTATATGCCAAAAGAAAAAGGAGAAAGAGAAACATGCGTCAGAATTGTAGGCACATACACACAACACTGTACACTATAAGTATGTCAAGGAGTAAGATCTCAGACCAGCTTCATCCATTAGGCCTGCACACAGTATGTTATCGTAACATTAGTGTGTTACGTTTGCACACCAGTGTGAACAAAAGTGTGTCCATGCATATGAACCACATCCACCACCTCTGAAGCAAGTCAGACTCTTCACTGAGTTTAACTGAGGTTGTATGCTAACTGTCAGAAGCTACAGTTCCCTGTCTCTCTATTGTTACCCCTTGTGATTTCATTATGAAACACTCATGAAAGAAGTAGTGGATTAAGTTTCTGTCGATTAATGTTCAACTTTGGTGGTAGGAACCTCCCTATATCTATGTATTGTAAAATCATTTATATCTCACAAAGCATCTCTGTATGTACTAAGTTTTACTCTGCAAAATATAGCTGGAGACCCTCTTACATACCTTAGAATCTTAGATATTAGATTACTCTAAAAAGTGATATACCACCTCTGGGTGAAAATTGAAGAAGAGATACTTAATCTATTTTGCCAAACGTCAAAGCTCCTGGTCTAAAATTAACTTGGGAAGAGTTATGGGGGAGTATTTTGAAGTAAAAATGTGTACGGAGTCTGTATGGAGCTGGCTCACGCTGAGAAGTCCAGATGCAACTCATTAACTACTGAACATACTATTTTACGTTAGCTTCAGCAATTGAAAACAGAATAATTATATATACTCACTCTTTAATTTGGAGCGTATTTTGTTGGCCAACTTCTTGATGTCTGCCATGAGATCCTCCAGCTCCGCCTTGGTTTCTAGGGAAAGAGGACAGAACAGAGAGAGGAGAGATTTGTGGATTTAACTAACTCACACAAACCAGCCATTTTCACAGAGGCAGAATCAATACTGCCACAAGAAATAACTCTAAATGTCACTCTGAACAGAGACTAACAGCAAATCATCAGCTTCAGTATATCTCTGCATGTCTTGCACTCCTTTGTGCTTTTTATTTAGAATACCAGCATCCTTCACTTCCACAGTCCACTGTCCTCTTTCCATCTAGGCCCACACCCTGGAGACATAATACAACTCATGTGGGTTGATGGGTACATGTGGGTGCTGACAAGTAAGATTTGCTATTTTAGTAAGTAGAGGAATTACTTAAATCACGACGGACTGCAGCACCACCTCGGCAACAACAGGATGCAGGCATTGTTACAACAGGAGACAAAGTTGTGCAGATTTCAATGATTACCATTCTCCTTGAACAAGACATACAGTATTGACAGTTTTCTAAATGGAAACTGTTTTTTTCCAGGGGGTTCAAATGCTAACAACTAAATGTATCATAATGTGCTGCTTCCAGCTTCTGACATTTGCTGTTTTTCTTTATTGGCTGTGTTGCATGATTTATAACGTTTGAGTTTCAATGCTGTGCTTCTTAAGCATTACTAGTGTAGCCAGAATATGTCAAAAAACGATTTCATAATAAGTAAAAACCTCAAGTATAAACGCAGAGGCACGTCGCAGCAGAAGCTCTATTTGGGGCTTCTCTTTTTTTGGTCAGTGATTGTTTATCACAAACAACGTATCTTCCACGTTTGTGCACATACAGTATAGACGGTTCTTCTCATCAGTGCAAGCTTCAAAAGGCAGCAGCTCTGAAAGATAGGGTGACTGTCACTTCACGCTGCCATGTTGCTTATGACGAACTGAAGTTTCCTTTTAATCTTTTCTCCCTTCTGTCGCTTATTACAGCTACTGCCAAACCAACAGTTTCATAATCATATTTCACAGACACTTCAGATTGTTACACATGGGGGATTTCACCGAAAACACATTTTTATCAGATTTTTTAGGTCATGCTAATTTGCAGTAAACCCATTTTATTAAATGAGGCTGGTCTTTATCATCAGTTAAAGATTGTCTTTTGTAATTGCATAGAAAATTAGATCAGAGGATGAGAGATAATCTTTTTTTTAGGTTTAGTAGGTCACTTTCATCCCTCTCATCCCTTTAGCCACCTCTATTAAGCATTCATACAGAGTGTGTCAACATTTGTTAAAGTTACAAACCAATAAAAGAGCATTACAGAACAACCTTTCTTATAAAGATATATTTACATTAATGTAAAACATTGGTAAAGTAAGTTGTTACGCATCTAGTTTTTACTACATAGAGTCTGGAAATAGAGAAGAACAAGAGAAAATAGCTTCAACACACTCCCTCTCTCTCCCCCCTTTACCCTGGAGCACTGATAGCCATTTGAGTACATTAACAGTGAGAAAGTCATTTAAAATCTTAATGCCATAAAAAAAACAAATCTCCATATGTTAAATAACCCCAGGAAGACAGAAGTCATAAAATATGGTCTACTCAATCTAACTATTAAATCAAACCAAAACTGCCTGAAGTACTTTTTTATAATGAGTTTGTTTTTGTGTGCTACCTGCTTCTTTAAAGCTGCATACATCATAACGATTAACAATAGACTGGAAGTAGCCCTAAACTGGAACAGAACGCAAACATCTGCATCTCATAACAGACAAAACCTCAATGGATTATTTTATACATTGCGTAAGAAAAACTTAAATTGCTACTAGATGTTTATGAAATATTTGCAAACACTTTGTAATAAATAAGAAGTATATTCTTATCAGAAAAGCATGTTTTGTATTTTAAAACACTGACAGACAATTAGTGGAGGATCCACTAATATAATAAGGCATCATTTTACGCACATTTAATAGTGTATGTCTGATGAATCCTAATCAGCAGCTTACACCAAACGCTCACTGGGATAAATCATGTGAAATGATAACATACAAATATAACAGCTCAGTGGAGGTAGAGCACCTATTACAAAATGTTTGGCAAAGTATTACAAAGGTTTATTTTGCTGTCAAACAAACTGCAACCATATCAGCTAACATCAGCCTGTGGTACATCCAGCTCAGAGGAACAAAGTGGTAGACATCGTGTGTTTACTGATAACTTCCAACGTGTCATGCCCGGCTGAATAAAGGTTAATGTAAGATAGCTGGAGCATAGGCAGGCATTTATGTTTCTCTTTTTTTTTTATCAGTCAAGAGATGATAGGAAATTAGGTGACAGAAAGGAGAGATGATGTTCAAAAGAGGTTCCTGACTCATGTGATGTAATACACATTTCTGTGAATGTAATGCACGAACAAGGGTCAAGAAAAAAAGACTTAGAAACATATCTTAACATTTACTAAGAAGTGGACGTAGCAATCTCGCTTTACCAATTGGTTTGTGGACTACGGTTTGAGAGCCTCCAGCTAAACTACAATATGCTTAGCATATATTTTAATACATTCCCCAATGCAGAGAAATAGTCAGGGTCAAAGACTGAGCTGAAGAGGTGGGCTGAGGTCCTGAGGGCAAAATAAGCTCTGGTGTGTGTGTGTGTGTGTGTGTGTGTGTGTGTGTGTGTGTGTGTGTGTGTGTGTGTGTGTGTGTGTGTGTGTGTGTGTGTGTGTGTGTGTGTGTGTGTGTGTTTTTTTTGCTTTACAGATCAAAGATGATCTGTCTAGGAACGCAAACTGCTATCTTTCATTTGGATTTTTTTTTAATCATATCCTACTTTAGATGTTCATCTTTGCTTCCACTTCAGATACACCTTTAAGGGGAAGTGTCGCCCTCTTTTCTGTGTAACCATAGCAACCTCTGGTAACCCGCTCCATGAGGTCAGCAGCACCAGCATCTCAGAGATAATGACTTAAACACTGAGCGCAGTTTGGGGCCGTGTGTGAAGCTATGGTTTGTGGTTTATGTGTGTTAAGGAGTTAGATTAGATTTCACCATGGTGGTTACCAAACAGGCGAGGCCAACCGGCGCGATCAAGTGTCGATTCAGCCTCATTATTGTCCGTTGAAAAAGAGGAAGAGAGCTGACACTGATTAATAAGTAGAGGAAGAAGTGAGAGGAAACCATATTAGAGGGCACAACTGAGGAGTCAATTGAGCTGTGGCTTCACACTCCATCCCTCTCCCAGACGCTCTCAAATGAAATCTTCAGGTCGCGCTTGTTGCCATCATTAAGACTGTGTTGCTATGGCGATGTGTGCAGTCGGTCCTCTCACTAGCATCAGATTGTTTCAAAGTGGCAGAGGGAAAGATTTGCTATAAGCAGGAAGAAATGCAGGAAATGCAAAAGCTAGAAGAAGGGTAAAAATAAATGGTGTTCCAGAAAATAAGACAAATTGCTTGTCTGTTTATGGAAATTATCCAGCCTTTAAAAGAATAAAATAACCATCTTGTGACACTTTTAAAAGGTTTGTGTCGTCTGTGAGAACCAATTTGCTCGGGGATAAAAAACGCTGACAGCCGTTGTTTGTTTTAGGATATTATTTCTTTTACAATATGAAAATATATGAAACACCAGACTTATCCTTGAAATGCAACAAAGGTCCCCAAAAGGACTTAAAACTAGTAATAATGACTAACTAAATAATATTAGTAACTGATAGTTAGATGATTACACTGCAGGCGTCTTCAATCATCCCGGGAGTTGGCACTAAACTGGAAACAATTTCAATTAGCTTTTTTGCCCATACAAGATCAGACCAAATGACAACAATTCAGAGAACCAAAGCAGATCAAACAGAGACAAGCTAATGTAACACTTCCCAATTCCAACCAAGGACACTGAAGTCACAAAGCTGACCGATAGGAGATGGTTGACATTTGATTGAAAAGGCTCAGCTAACAAAGAATTGCAGCAGTAACAAGACAGGAGACCCAATCCCTTTAGTACAAGCACATGAGCATTACATCTTTGGGAAATCAACCCACAGCAAAGTGTTATAATTGCTGCACTTAACACTAATGAATGAGCCACTCACTGAAAAGCATGAATGAATTTTAATGTTCAATGTTAGGCTAAGCCAAGTTAGTTGGCTGCTGGGTTTATATCTGAAGTACAGACACAAGAGGGGCAAGAAAATGAATAAGCATACTTCCCATGATTTCAAACTGTTCCTTTAACCTGCACCTTATACTGCATATCAGTCCCATTATAGGTGCGTTCACACCGGAGTACTTTGGTGTACTTTTCACAATAATCACAGCTAGCGTGGTGGATATGCCAACTAAGTGAGTATACTGTACTGGTATTTGTTTGCAGACATCTGATTTCACGTGGACTAAAATCAGCCAACATGTCTACTTATCAAGATGGCACCTACATCAGACCGCAGTATATATCTGAGATTATAAAGATGAACATCCTGGTAGTTCTTGCCAACCCCTTTAGCATCGACCCGACACCAGCCTTGGTTCTACAGTGGCAGCTTTTATTGTCCTGTACCTTAAAAGCTACCTCCTGTATAAGAACACCATCTGGGTTTCCTCTTGCCTGTCTCAATCATCAGGCGGTCTATTATGATATTGACACAACGTGCGTGTGTGTGTGTGTGTGTGTGTGTGTGTGTGTGTGTGTGTGTGTGTGTACCTTGACACTGACAAGACACCAGGCCACTTCTGTTTCCTCCACTCTATCTCAGGGGGAATTGCTGCCATTTATCTTTTTCTTCATCTCGCTACCTCTCTTTTCCTCCCTCTGCTCTCTCTGTAAATATATTACCAGTGTTTGCACCGCTTATTGATCGTCTAGAGTCCAGTTGTCTGATGTTTCGGAGAGACAAAATGTGAGCTCATCCCTCAAACATTACTGATATTTGCCTTGCTGCAGGAATACAGGATGAACTCAGGTAATGACAAACTGACAGCAGAGATCAAATGTAAATGCCATACAAAACACTACACTAACCTACAATGACCGTTTAGACTTCA